ACTGCAGTTTTGGAACGCAATTACTGAAACTACTGAGACTGTAGTTTCAGTAATTGTAACACTTCTGACCAAGAAGCACTGGTGTTGGCGCTTAACAAGCATACACGCACACACGGGGGTGATTAATTGGCTGGTTTCTGAGAGGAGCCCAGAGCAGTTTCTGCTTCTCTATGAAACATCTGGCATCATTAGAAGCCAACATTAGGGAGTTATCAATAGAGAGCTGATAGTGTTTGAAAACCTGTTATTTATGGAGCTTTGTGGTGCATTAGCCACGGAAATGGGCACAAAGACAACTTACCAAGCTCGAAAAAGATATTTGTTTGAGTAAATGCTTTAAAAAAATAGCCTGAAGTGTCTAATTAGTGTAACAACATGTGTTAGTGCACCTCAATTTGACCTCTTACCGGAAGCTTTACTCTTAGTTCTAACCAATGCCCTTTCCCTCTCTCTGGAATTCAACATGTGTCCTTCTCACTTGGATTCACTTCATCTCGGCGGCTCTCCCATTTCTTTTTTTGTCTCTTGTTCCCACCTTTGATGCACTGATTTAATATTTGGGTTTGCTACCTGTCCAATTCAAGCCCAAAAATCTAGATAGGATATCTGTGACTATGAGGCAATCCACTGGCACGATCTATTCAATTCAGTTCTATGTTATTGTGCGTTTGCTTTGCCACTGAGCTGCAGCTAGCGGCAAAGCTAAGGTAGAATGGAGCTAATGACAGACAGACAGCAGTTTGGAGGCACGTCACGGAGCTACAACAATATATTTGAACTCAGCCACAGCCAAGATATCAGTATCAGACTGGACCAGGAAAAAGCTGGATCAGGCAATCCCTACTTTTGTAGACACCATCAAGTCTTAGTCTAGAAAACTTTTTTTTCTTTTTGTTTTTTTGTAATTTTTTTGTAATGCTATTCTTTTTTTTTTTCATTTTCATTTTAAAGTGCCTGCTCTTATAAACACTAGGCATAATTACAACCATAGATGGATATACACTCTTAGAGAAAACAGCCATGGTTATAAAAGTGCAAAAATATCTGTGTTAGATTGCAGAGGCAAAGCAGGAGACAAACAGGAGAGACATTTTCTCTTGGTGCTGAGATGGATCAATGAACTCATCACACACTAGGACAGCTGACTGTCAGCACACAATATCCTCAACATATTTCCATTTGTTTTGCAATTTTCGAGTAGGGCCATGCTTTAGCACTATATTTTTGAATAGACGTGAGGGGTAATTTGACCTGCATATGCCTATCCACTCGATGTCATCCTCAGTCATGCTGGTTACCATGATTGTTGCAGATTCACTAAATTACTTTGAACTGAATAATTAAACTGAGCTTGCACTTCAGTAACTCACAGGCGATGTGGGTGTTTTCCATTATCACACTGTATAAATTAGTGTAACTTATAGCTGAAGTGGAATTCAGCTTAAGGGGCACAATGACTTTATTGGATGGAGCTTAAGTTTACATGACACTCATGTAACAAAAATTCTTCAGGACTATTTTTGTTTTAATCTTTTATATTTATAGCTTATAGAAACAAAAAAACAAGTTTCTCACAATATAAATTCTGAGTTTGAATAAATTATTGTTCACATAGTATAAATACCTTGTGTCTCTTGGTTTAGCTCAGTATGTGTAATCACAGTCATGGGAAGACAGTTGATTTGATGGTGTTGGAATTAAATAATTTTCTAGATGATAATCATGACAGTCAAAAGGAGGGTAAGACACAGAAGATCATTGCTTCGAGAACTCAGGGAAGTTTCACAAGGAGCGGTCTGATGCTGGTGTCAGAACATCAAAGGCCACCATACACTGACGTCTTTGGAATAGAGGCAACGGCTTAAGCATTTTTAATGTCAAACTACACCCAAATGAAAGACAATATCTTACCTGCGCTAAGGAGTAAAAGAACTCGATTGTTGGTCGCTGGTCCTCTTTACAGATAAAAGTAAATTTTGTGTTACAATTGAAAATCAAAGTCATAGAGAGACACAGAAGCCAAGGGTTTTGATGTAGTGTGTGTACGTGCTGCAATGTGATGGTGTTGCTGCAGGGCTACGGTGTTTTATCAAGTCCAGAGAAACATAGCTGTCTGCCTGGAGATTTTAGAGCACTTCATGGTTCCATGTGCTGGCAAGTTTTATGGTGATGCTGACTTCCTTTTCCAGCAGGTGTTAGCGCCTGCCCTCAGTGCCAAAACCAAATTGTTTGTTGATCGTGTGTGGTTGATTGGTTGGCCAAGTCGTTTGAACTGAACACCAGTGAGAATTTACTGTATGGGGTATTGTGAAGAGGAAGAGGAGACCAGCACACCTGATCAAACAGATGAGCTTGTCAGAGCTAGATATTTCTACACAGTCAGTTCTTTATTGACGGAAATATTCAAGTAAAATGAGTTGCTCGATTGGTGATTTCCATTAGTGTGATTGAAGTACTCTGGTAATATTCATATTTACCTTTCTATCTCACTTTTGCATGACGCTAATTTAAAGCCACTGAAGCTATACAGCACAAGGTTTTAATCTGGTTAGTTTGTTTCAATACATGACAACTGTATGCAATAATTCAAATGATGGTGCACAATTTGGTTTGCATTTGTCAGGATACTATGGGTATATGTTTGAGTTGCCTGGCTGCTGCTCCAGTCCTTCCTGGTTTAAGTAAAAGAGGAAGCTGAGGGCAGAGCTGGTTTAAGTGCAGAGGCCAACAAATGGACTTAACCATCTGGTGACCACACAGGAGAATGGGGTGTCCTCTTGCAATGTGTTTAGCTATTGTGTCTGTGGTTTTTCCCTTTGATGTTTAAAATGGTTTATTCAGTTACTATATAAGTTGCTAAGTATTTTTTGAGTAGAATTTTGTTTTCTTGTTTTCTTTGTTTGACATCTTTTATGGGCCCACTTAGTCCTTAAAATAGTTTGTTTCCATTACTGTAAATTTTTGTAGTAACGTCTTTTTTGGGGTATAATAAAACCCATTTTTTGAAGATTACACCTGTGCCTGTACATTCTTGGCTGATTGGTCCCTTAGTTATTAGTTATATGCCATAATCAACAATTTCTTTTTTAAAACAGAGAGAATATTTCACTTGATATGTTACTTCACTTGAATACAGAATAATTTACTGTTTTGAATGAAATTACAAAAACAGAATACATTTTTCATGATATTCTACCTCTTTGAGATGCACTAGTATGAGCTCAATGTTATAAGTGAAACAAACCAAAGGAAAATGCATCAAAATAACAGTGCATAGTGCAGGATGTGTAGGCAGGCAAAGGCACCCTCATCTATGGGGCAGGTGAAATGAAAAGAATACTGAATTCTAGGCAGATGTTGTGCATTACGGCCTGTACTTGGCTTGACACTGAGGCAATTCTGCAACACTAACAACACAGAGCACGACAGCAGAGAATTTGGTTTCTTCTCAAGATATTATTACTATTGTAGCTGTGGATTTCAGCCCATTCAATTACACTGCCTCTCTATGAAATGCAATATAAATATTATCCATGTGCTTCTGTTTCTCAGTTTCAGGGAGGGTGACGGTAAATGAGGATTTTCAGCACAGGCTTGAACCTTGACAGTTTTATTTCCTCCACCAATGCATATGTGATAATTGCAGTTTGAGTGTGTGTGTGTATGTGTGTGTTTATTTGTCAGCAAGACTACATAGAACCACTAATCCAAATGCCATAAAACAGGGACTGTTTATTATGCGTTATAATACACAGTCTGAAAATTGAAGTGCAACTCCACGACTTTGCTTTTATTTTGACATTTTGGTTTTGGACCTTTTAGAGCTGCTAGTAGGAGATGGAGAGAGACATTTCCATCTACTGCCAATCTCTAGACATGACACTGATGTCAATTCATTCCTAGAAAGGAAACAAAGAGAATGCATGCAATTTCAAACTGCTGAATAATGCCCATAAGAAGAAGGGAAGGCAAGAAATGAAATAGGTACAAAGTGTGTGTTTTGGAGTAAAGGATTAAGAGGAGAGAAAGTAGAAAGGTACCCCGGGGATCTTTGGCCCCGACAAGAAACTCCTGCTGAGACTTTATTAGATTTGGTGTGTGTATTTTTCTGCATGTGTACATAGAGGTGGTGCAGAGATTTGATTCCTTTCCCCCTTTTTATTCCAAACTACCCGCTATGTATCAGCTGCTGCGGAAGCTATTTGAGTGAGCAAGAACAAGTGTGTGTATGTGTGTGTGTGTAGAAGAGCAGTAATTGGCATGTCCACCTGACTGAAAGGCCTGGGCGAAGTGGCAGTGCCGGAGTGGAGCTGATAACATGGCAATTAGGCTGCAAGAGACAGACCCCCAATCAGCTCAACATGGTACAGAGACTTACAGAGACAGGTGGGACTACAAGGACCGACAGAGACCAGAGAATGGGCGAGTGCCCCCAGGTGTGAGCTAATTTGTCATGCTGCTATACTGAAATCAAGCAAGCTCCGCGAGGGCTTCTGCCAAGCTATCCGTACAGGATGGCGCAGGCAGACAGCTCACGTTCACGCAGAAGACACCTGCTGCGGCTGCTGACGAAAACCTTGGGTTTTTTTGCGTCTTTTTAAAACTCAAATGGCACACTTTAAAAGGATGAAGAAAGCGGGCAAAGGTTTACATGCTCTGTGTCTCACTACTAATGCACAGATAAAAAAAGAGGAGAGTAATTTCATGGCTGTGTCTGATTGTTTTTGCCAGTGGTTCTTTCTTTCTTTCTTTCTTTCTTTCTTTCTTTCTTTCTTTCTTTCTTTCTTTCTTTCTTTCTTTCTTTCTTTCTTTCTTTCTTTCTTTCTTTCT